GTCGGTCCCCTCAGGTCATCGCTGCCCGCCGGCATCACACTGTGGCCCTGACCCATCCTTTGCCCGCCCTTGGGCATCCTCTTTCTCCTCTCCCCGTGCCCGCTGCTCCCGACGCGTGTGGCGCCTTCCTGAGGGCTCGTCTCTGCCCCCGGGGCGCTGAGGTGGCTTTGCCCGCAAGTGATGCACAGGTGAATTGTTCTGCGTGGTGTCATGTCTTGACGCCTCGTGTTGGGGCAGAGGGACTCGTGCTGAGGGGGCTTTGGGCCCTTCAGACTTAGTCTGTGCTTGTTTTTTTAAGTGTTACGTCGCTGAGATTTGTGAGTCGCTACAGCAGCAGCACCTGCAGTGGTCAGTACCTGTGCAGTGGTAAGTGTATGCTGGTCAGGCTTGTAAGGATAACTCAGGGCTAGAAAAATCTATCTCACGTTGTAGCCTACCCCTTGTTTCAAGGGTAAAGAAGGTGAGCTTCTCCTACAGTTTTCCAGTGTTTTTGGTCTAGTGCAGCAGCTACCAGGGCAGCAGAATGCTTGGTTTTTATAACCACTTCCCCTCTGCTTCTGGTTACTTACTCCTGTTTCCCTCCAGCAGCTCTGCTGCTTGTTCAATTCCCTAATCACCTGGTTTTCCCAAGGGAGAAGAACAAGAAATAAGTTCTCAGGTCTTAAAATTCAGTTCTGTGTTTTGGAGGTGAGATACTGAGAGGTGAAGGAGTTGGGCTGCCCTTTTGGTGAATCCACCTAGTCAGAGTCTGCTATTGGCATATATTTTAATTATAACCACAGAATCACTTTATGTTGGAAAAGACCTCTGAGATCGAGTCCACCCTTTGACTGATCACTACCTTGTCAACCAGACCATGGCACTAAGGCCCACATCCAGTCCTGACACAAATAAATGCACTTTGCACCTCCTGAGGTGACAAGAGGCAAGGGCCCAAGCAGCACACATGGATCTCCCTGTCTGTGGGAACAGATTTAACACTCAGCACCGTCAAGTGGAAGCAAAAGCCTTTTCTGTCTGGCCACACCAGTTTAATGAAATCCATCAAATGCTTGAAAACTGCGTTTAAAATAATGCATTGGTTTAATTGCAGGGGGAAAGCAGAATTTGCTCTGTTTTTAGGTTAAGAAATTTGTGCTGGCCCCCATGTGTTAACTCATGTCCCTTGTTACCTGACTTTGGGTAGAGAGATGAGGCAGGGCAGTGCAGGAACTTCACCCTGAAGCTCTGCCTGTGCCTGAATTGGTGTAAAACCGTTTCAGGATGTGTCTTTTAAAGCAGTTTCAGTATAAATGAATACCTGCATTTATTCTGCAGTACATGCCTAGGGCTGCCCCTGACTCTACAAAAGCATTTTCATAGTACATAAAATATTTTGAATTCTTTTTTCTCCCTCATTCCCTTTGGCCTATTTTAATGTTTAAAATACCCCAAGCAGACAAACAAACATTTGCATCAGTGCTTAAAAGAATAAAGTATATTTTATATCTGCACCCTGTTTCTTTCAGACCTTGTATTGCAGTTGAATTTTATTATATTTTCCAGATGTTGATAATAACAGAAACTGGGGTTTGATATGGGTTTGCACTGATATCTTTAATTTTTATTGGGCCTAGAGAATTTTCTATAGAGGAGTATGGTGCTGTGTTATTTTGATTTGCATTATCTTTGCTTTCCTAAAGCTCCTTGCCCCGTTTAATGGTTCCTCCTTTTCTGGTTTCACTTTGGCACACAGGGGCACTGCGATTTTATTGCTTTTGGGGAGACCTTTGCTTTATCAGTGTGAAGTTTTAACCCTGCTTTTGCTTTTCTCTGATTTTAATTGTTTATCAGAGTAGTGCTGGTAGTGTGAGAGCTGACATGTGGAAAATACAGACTGCCTCACACCCGGGCATGTGGAGGTTGCTGCATTAATTACTTGGATTCTTGTCTACTTATTAATAGTTGATATTTGCTCTGACTCTGGAGGAGCTTGAAGTTCCTCAAAGCTTCATTTCTAAAACATAAAGTGAGAGGGAAGCCTGGAATGCAGCTTGCAGCTGCTTCTAGCTTGAATGAGAACCCCTCTTCTGGGAAGCAAATCCCAGAGCTGAGCGACTCAAAATGCCTCTTAAAACAAGGCTGTGGTGTCCATGGGCCACACTGACGTGTTGGTGTGGTCCCTTAATGCTGCTCAACCACCACAGATAGCTCATAATGCCATTTTACTGAATTTCTGAAGCACCTCAGTGCAGCCCTCAGCTGAGCAGAGTGTATTGTCTGCTGGTTATTAACACAAAAAAAAAAACTTGCTGAAGGGCTTGAGCGGAGCTTGAACTTGCTGAGCAGTTTTACCTGGCTAATCTTGCCAAGGTGACTGCTGACCTTTCACTGTCTTGAGTCGTCAGCTCACGGCAGGGGGGGAAAAACTGATCTCCGGCTGAGGAAGCCTGATTTGCACAATAATTTGGGGACCATTTCCATTTCGCCATCCTGTTGTCGAGGTGGGCTTCCTCTCTGATGGCTGTGCTCTCCTTTCCCTCTCTGCAGCCTTGGCAGAGCGCTGAGAACTCTTTCATATGGTGATTGCGACATTAATTACTTTAATTTTTGTGTTAATTGAATTTTCCAAAAGCTCTCTGCTTCTGGCAGTAGTTGCCTTGTTTCGCTGGTGTGAAATGAGGTAGTAAAGTGATGACTGGCAGTTCTCAGCTACAGCGAGCTGAGTCGTGGACAAAGGAGATGAATTGATGCGTTAAAACCGTTTTATATTTTTCAAGACGAATCTGTATGTGAAGTCACTTGGTTGTAGTTAATGTTTATTTTCCAGGGGCCTGTTCTGGAGTTCTGGCAGACCTGGGCTGGCCATTAGAGACACTTTACTGACTTCCTGCTCTCAGGCAGGGCCTTGGTGTAGCTGATGGGAGTGAGTGGTTTGCGTTTTTGACATAATAAAGATAATTTTTTAAAAACTAACCTTACTGCTCGCAGGTCTGCCGTGATCAAGGTTTACACGAGGTTAGTTTCTGAAGTGTGTAGCGCTCGTGGGTTTTGCATCTGATTTTTTCTAATGGTTTGTACTGTGAATTCGGGGGAGTGGAGAAAAAATTATCTGTATTTGTTCAGTTCTTACAAAAACATCTTTATGAGCAGGGAAACTACCTGCTTTTCAGCTTTAGTGGTTGTAGACACTTTTTAGCAAGTAACTTGTTTGTCTGGTAACAGGGCAGAGGATTAAACAAGAACATTTACTCCTTGAAATAAGACTTTTGTGTTTTTAAAATGATACATACGTCTCATTTGACAGAATGACAGGGATGGAGACTGAAACAGCGAGAGACAAAGCCATGGAAGAAGAAAG